TAAATGTTTGTGGATGTGATTTCAGATTCACCACTCGGAGAAATTTAATGGCGTCCCATATGGATTGTTCTTAGGACCAAAGGTAATTCCACTACATATATGTACCTTAATCAAAATATATTTTCCTATGCTTTTAAATATAGTCAATATATATATATATATGTGTGTGTGTGTGTGTGTGTGTGTGTGTGTGTGTGTGTGGGTGGGTTTTTTAGTATACGTTGATGAATAATTGCTATTTGTTTTGGTGCAGGAACTTGAAGAAGTAGGTGGGCTAGCAGAGTTAGATAAAGAAATTGATAGAAGAATGAAATTGTCCAAAAGTTCGTGATCAAGGTTTTTACCAGAGCATAGTTGGGAAGGGTGGTTTCATGTAAACTTACTAAAAAAATTATATACATATAGAGGAGTCTTTTGGTTTATTTAAACAAGTAAACCAAATAGAAATTATTTTGAGCGCGAAATGGATTAACGAACACTGCATTTGAATATCGGATGATATACAAATCGAAATGACTCAAATCACTTAGATATCTTTCTTTCTTTTTTTTTTTTAATAAAAGAAGTTTGTTTATTGGACTAGCTAAGGATTTAATTACATAAAACTACATCTGATTGTGTTAAACGATGTGTGTGCTTTAATAAAATAAAAAATTATCATACTTTAAAAAACAACATAAATAAAAGTAAATGATATTTGATAGTATCATTATACATATTTATTTAAATATTACAACATATTGACCTATTTAACGGTTAGTCTTCCGACATAAGAAATTCTTCCAATAATTCCGGCTAGGAGTAGTTATTATCCCCAGTATCCGTAGCTACTTATACCTTTCTTTTCTACATTAAGATACGCGCTATGTTAATAGCCCTTAACTTAAAGCCTATACGCACAAGGCACCCACCTAGGAATAGGCGTTTTATGGATGATTCAAGCCCAAGGCGAGAACGAAGTAGCGATTGCTCGTCCAGGCAGAACTTCACCAGAAAGAAGGAAAGGCTGTACCATTTGAGATGGAGAAATGACTTTGAATCGCCTTAGTTAGCCGCTGAAGTATGGTATTGAGTCTAAGTCCAATAGTGCGAAAAACCCTTTCTGACGTTATCGGCCGGTCAGCTGGCAATCTAATCACCTTACGTGAAGTATCACAAACCTTTCGACCCATCCTGTAGTTATGCCCCTTTTCTTCTCTTGTTTCGGGTGTGGCAGCTAATGCGTAGTAGTGCCATGGGGCTGGAATCTTAGTAGCTGGTGTCAGACACAAATTCTTGTGATTAAACTAACATTTTTGTATGGTAATATATGATAATTATATACTCACACTCATATGCATGGAATCCTCGACTCTTTATGAGCACATGACGAGAAAGTTAAAAACGTAAGAGTCGTTTAAAATATTTTCAAATAATGTAGTCATGAATAAACTTGCCATTAAAATTCATTAAAATTAAACTCAGTCAGTTTATTTGCTAATTTAAATTATCCACATGGAAATTGCCACCTCTTACACATTCTCAATTTAGTTGATTGGATGTGTTTTAAATTAAATTTTACCCCAATCATTGATATGAATTCAGTGGATCATCCTTTTTAGTTGGTTGATTAATAATTTGTAAAACCATAATTTATTCCCTTTATTATTTCCCCCCTTCCGTTTGTTGCCATTTGGAATCCATTGGCCGAAAGTTTGACAAGTACACCATGAGACTGAAAATAAATAAATAAATAAATATTATTGGTAGCATTATGAGTTATATGCCAACAAAAAGTGGGAGTTGCTATCACTTGTTCATATAACGAAAAATAATTCAGAATCGGATAAGCACGCATATATATTAATTATTCAGATATTACTTCAAAGCAATGAAATATTTCAAAATAGCGTGTTCGACCTAATTTTTGGTGTAACAATTACCACAAATACATGATATGGTTTACTTGTCGTATATACAAGGTTGGCTCCACTATGAAGTCAATTGTTGACTTCATAGCAAAATCGGTCGTACTTGACAAAATGATTAAAACGAATCAAGTATATACTAAGGAAAGCTTACACTCAAAAATGTATGTGCGTGAAATTGACCTATCCCAAAACTGAAATTTATTACTTCTAAGAAGATGAGCAATAGTATAGGGAGATGATACGGTCTCATTACAGAATCATTCCGTCAGGGTTTGTAACCATTAGATCAACTATCTCCAACGATTACATGATGATCCAACAGTTACAAATCCCGACGGAATGGTTCCATAACGAGACCATCGCATTTCCTCAATCGTATATATGTGGAAAAAATTTGGTAAATTTCCATATGTACTAGTTCCTGAAGTTCTTTCAGTTATTGTTATCATCGTTATTATAATTATTATTATTTTGATGTGACGAAAGAATAACATGTGTATGAGTATATGATCAAAACATCTTGACACATGATCATTTTCTTATATTATACATGCATAGTGTGCAAGGTGAAGCCCATTCAAGTCTAGCTTTGGGCTCCTCAGAGATCAACAGACTACAAATCCATCCTTAAACTGTAGCCGCGTCTGAAGCCCAAAAGTTTTGAAATCATTTGGCCCAAATTAATTGTATACGTAGCCTAAGGAAGTGTACACTATGCAGAAAGCCCAAAGTTTTGGAAATCTATTGGCCCAAATGGATTGTACGTGGTGCTCGTGGAGGGAAGGAACGAGAGTGTGACCTAAAATTAAAAATTATGGTTGGTTTTACTTTTGAGTAATGCTATAAAGCCCACTTGAGTTACAACTTGGATTACAACTCAAATGTAAATGCATTATTTTTTAATTTAATGATAATGCATTACACTTGGGTTGTAACCCAAGTTGTCATCCAAGTTGGCTAAGTAGCATTACTCTTTACTTTTTAGTTGCTACACTTTCTATTTGTGTTCTTTTTTTTTTTTTTT